CTGACAAAGTTAGGTCACTGGATTTACGATGTATATACGAAAATTTTGTATTACGATGTCATTAACACGCTTGAGAGAGAGATTTATTTACAATTAAATTAATTATTATTATCGCGATGACACAATTCTATATGTAATTATTAAAACTGTATGTATACAATATATTTGAGATAAAAAGATGAAAGCAGTTTTAAATCTGGATTACGGGTGGATATAATGTTTGTTTTCTCGCAAGGCGTAATTAATCAGTTGCAAAATAACAATTTTGTCAACCAAAAAGAAGAAAAAGTTACGTCAATCAAACATATAATTTTCAAAATATGTGACACGTTGGATCACACAAATATTAGCTTTTCTGCATATGCAGAAGATACGTGTGTTGTATATAATTATATCAGTATTGATATGGAAAACACAACATGTTGATCATTATAATTACGATGCGTCGTACATGCGTACATATACATTTTGCATATTAAGCGTGTAATCCGGGATTGCATAAACACCGCTGTATCAGAATTTTTCACTCGACTACCGTTCGAATCAATCCATGCGGTTAATCGTAACAGGCAGTTGACGCAATCGGGCGGAATTAGATTGAGTATTAATTAAATAAATGTCGCGCGCGCGCACAAAAATATCTTAATAATTAATTCACCATGAAAATTTCCATGATCAGTCAAGTGAAAAAAATTGCGATTACAAATCATTTTGTTAGACTGTTCGCTCTTTCTACAACCGACTTTTCTTTAACGATTTCCGCAGTTTTGATCGAAACGAAGATGTTTCCGCCTCATCGCCGACCGAACCCGCGCGAGGACAACGCGGAGCGCAAGAAGCTGAAAACGCGGTTGGGGGATGGAACGGGGTCAAGTTGATTTTATCTCCTTGTAAGCGCGGGTGCGCGCCTTCGAAACCCGACCGACGTTATTTACGGCCAATGCATTTTCATCGGCTTTACGTTGAGGGTGGAGGTGCGCTCGGTTACGAACATCGCGGATGCGCGTATATCGCATGAACTCGATATAAAGCTTCGAGCGCAGCGTCGGATTGGATAAATAATCTTCATGAGAACGAAACGGAGAACAACTTTGTACATTTTACGGATAAATCGTGCATGTTATAATTAATATACACATATGTATATATCGTGCGAATTGTTATTGAATTATTTTTTACCAAATAAACAGGACATTTTCGCAATGAAAGATGTTTTTATTAACTTATCGAATGTATACAATACCGTCATTTAATTGATGATCAGCTCGTTCGTATTGGAATCTGTGTGAATACTTGAGGATTTGAAAGAATTCGAAGTTTGTGCCAATTCATTGCAAACACAGTTTATTTTTTTAAAAAACGACAACAGTCGCGATAACAGTTATCTACGCAGAGCCAAATATCGGACCGTGCGGAAGAAGGGGGAACCACAAGAGTGGCATAAAAAGGGGAGAAAAATGCACAAACTACGCGCCGAATTTACGAGAGCGACGCTGGCTGTTCAAATACTATCAAATTCGAATCCGATTGAGAGCAGAGCTTAGCGATCTCGCCGATCCTTTCCATCTCCGATCGAAGGCCTCGGGAAGGATTTCCATGCTTTTGCCCACGCCGAGTTAACATCGGCGAAATCAGGTCAGAGCTTATCGATCGCTCGGCCGGAATCTGCCGGGCATTTATTTTTTCGCGCTATACGCTCGAAGATGGAGAAGAAAGGAGATAAATACCGGCGAACCGGATATTGAGAGGTAATAAATAGATAACGTAGGTTTCGGACGGCAACCCCCCGTTAAGTGCCGATTTCTTCCCGAAATGTGCACATATCCCGTGAAACGAGGGAGCGAATAGAAAAAAGAAAACGAACAAATTTTCTCTACAGAAGAAAATAAATGAAAATAATGAGAACAATAGTAGACAACAATGTTACATTCTGTACGTGAATGTTTTCTTGTTACTAAAGATTAATTCCAAAATAATTAAATACTTTGCTACTGTGTAGAAACGTTTCGAACGGCTAAGATCTTTTCAAATCGTGCGAATCGTGATAAGCTCGGCATATCCATCACATTTCGCTAACAAATAGCGCACTCGTTTTCTCGCCACTGCCTGTCCCGCTCACTTTCATTTCGCGCGGATAGAACTACGAGGGACGAGAGCGCGGTATATCCTGATAATTATAATCACTCGACAAAATCCCTTTTCCTAAGGCGAGGGGTATGGCGACGACCGTCGGGATCAGGGTTGGCGACCCGGGTGGTGGCGAGTTCGAGAGGGTGGCGCTCTGTGTCGTCTCCGCTCGCTGCGACAGAGGGTGGACAGAGCATTTACATCATTTAATTTATGACCCTCTCCGTCGCGATCAGCTTGGACGACGAGTCGACGCACACGGAGCTGAAGCTGAGCGCGTCACACATGCACACAGAGCAGTCGCCTATACAGTCGCGCGCACTAATGCACCGGTAGAATAAATTTGCATATGCATGTGACCGTGTTCGGACGGAACTGCGCGACGGAAAGAGAGGGAGAGAGAGAGAGGGAGGGCGAGAGAGACGCTGATGGAACATACCTACGGATAAGAGCGAGAATGGAACATACACATCTATGCTTTTCCTCGGAATCGAATGTAGCCGTGAGTCCGCTGGTCATTGCGCGACTTCGTAACAAGAGAAGTAGCCGATCGGATAGTAGCACTGAAAAAGTAACGCCAGTTTGCTTTAAGTAATTCCATTTAGTGGAACTCTCGGTTCACGCTTTCCTTCTACGTGTACTTTTATAGAGATTGCTGCACACTCTTCTCTTTCCCTTTGCTCTTACTCTCTCACTCTCTCTTTCTCTCTCTCTCCTCTAACTTTCTTTTGTTTGCACATTTCTCGTTAATTAACTCGACTAACGAACGGTAGATTCTACATGTTACCGTAATAAGAAACTCTCGTGCACATGAGCGAGTTGGCAAACGCAATTCGTACGAAAGTCAACAATACGCTACGATAATAGAACGTGCATAATGTCCTTTTTCCTTCGGAGGAAGAAAATCGCAGTCTTGCTTTTCTCTATATAGCCGATTGCCGCCACCGGATGACAACTTGTGGGCGGAAACTCCGGGTATTAGCGGCGGCGAAACTCGAGGAAACGGGCCGTCTTATACCATAACCTGTAACGTGTAAACGGGAGTATTTGGCCCGGGGATTACCGAAACTCGAAGTTTGATTGGCCGTGCCAGGGGTATCAAGTTTTGGCGGGGGCGCGTGAAACTTTGGTTAATTTGCTGGGGTGTAGCGGGCGCAGCAAACCGAGTTCGGTGGCGCGAATGTGAGGAGAGCGGAGCGGACCGCACAATGTCGTCTCTGATTGGATTGATTCGTGCCGATCGTTTTTCTTTTCGCGATATCCAGAGCTTTCTATAGAAAATATACGACTCCTTTCGCGAAACCGCTTTTCATCGCGCGGACGCAATAAAAAAAACAACAAATGCAATTTGCATGTAATCGATATTCAGTTTTTATTGTGTGTAGACATTGATACTTATTTCAAAGTTACCGTTAAGGACTTTATTTAACGGTATTTTATAAATTAGCGATACTCATATATATGTGTATAATATTTATAACATTGTACAACCACTTTTGGAAAATATTGCGTTTTACACTATTATGCGCTTCGCGGAAAATGGTGTTTTGAAATAATAATTGATCATTCCCATTTAAATTATTTAAAATACTTTTGTTGCAATTACAGTACGTGTATAAATATAGAATGTGCGAATTGTGTAATCGATATTTTAATCTGTAATATGTAATATTTTATATTTTCAGCGCAAATCATAGGCGTTTATTATTTTAACAACTATAATCTTTATTTTAAAAGTATTTCGAGAAATTATTAGAACATACAAGTTTGATACATTATAGTTTAAATATATTATTTATATTTAAACTACTTTGCATATGTAATGCTGCAACTGCCGTTGCCGTAACCGTTATATTAGTTCGTTAAACATGTCGATACATCACACGGAGAATTTCCAATAAAATTTTCCGTCGAGTTACGCGCGGTTGAGACGTAAAAAGAACGAAGTAGAATTTTCGGCGATCTTATTTTCTCGTTGCAACGAAATTTGAACGCTGGCTCCAGCCGAGGGTGAAGATGCAATTCTTTTAATTACAGAGCCATCTACTGCGATACAGTCTTTTTAAAGCACGCGCGGCAAACGGAGGACCACTGACGCGGAGCGTCCGGCCAAATCGATGCGAAAGTGCTTTCGTGTGACTTCAAATTAAAACGCGCAATTACGCGGGGGCGAATTTACTTCCAATTAGTTTACAATTACTCTTCAATGGGAACTTCCCTCCCGCGCCGTATCTCTTTTTTGTTAGATACATCCTCGTTCGTTTGTCATTGAATTCCTGAAATTGATTCTCGCGCAATGGCACGTCAATGTCGTAACTCGCGCGCTTTTTGTGAATGATTCAAAATTTCGGAAAATCATCGATTTTCGATAATCTAAAGATTGCCGATAACTTTTACTTACGATGCTTTTGGTGTGTTTCATACACATTGCTCATTTTATTCGCTTATTCCCGCGAGTAAGCGCGCATGCTTGTAAAAGACAGTTATCAAACTTAAAACATATATCTTTTTATTACGTTATATTGCCGTTTATTCGCACAGTCTTGCGAAATCACGTTTCGGTATTGCTACCCCCGAGAAATGCCATTCTTGCGGTCTCTTTGCGTCGAATACGCAGCAAAATTGAATTACGCATGTACGCGCGAAATTGAATTCCTCAATTTGTCATGTATATATCGTGTATACGATACGTATTCGCGGTACGTTACAATTGCGGTACGTAGAAAATTTTTTCAGCATTTATTTCTCTTAAAACGTGATATTTCGCGATATTTTCAGACAAAGATAGAAAAAAGCGTTCTAAAAGTATTTTACACGCGATTTTACATTAATGTATCATCAGCGAAGAGTTATTGCTTCATGTTTTGTTATAGAATGTCAGAAGGCAGCATCTGCAGTTGGCTATGGATCGTGTAGTGAAACCACAGCTGCTGCTCTCCAAGCCGTCCCTGATTTCTTCATGGCAGCTACGGTGAGTCAACAACATGCATGATGCGCTCGTAAAGTAAAGAACCGACGACAGAAAGTAAAGAACACAATTCATAATATAACTTTTTTTATATACCATTATCAGTATAACATCATATCGTTAGAGCAGTGTCATATAATGTTCTATGAATGTTCATAGAACGAAAAGTCACACGGGCGAAAGTGTAAAAAATTTATACAAGTCCCTTCAAATTTCTTCTGCGAACGAAAATGGATCTCTCTGTGGAGCTACGTTTTCACTTCTCGCTCGATGTCGTGGGATAACGATTGTTTGTTAGGTCGTGTGCTCCCTCGCGTACATCGTGCGTGTATTTGTGCGCACGGCAGAAACCCACTTCGACCACCCTCACTTCGGCCGTGGCACGATAGCTCGGACACAGTCCAGAATTCCAGACCGCCCCTTCCGGATATTCGTTCGTCGTATATCTTCGGACCGGTCGCGCACTCGGTACGTGCGATCGCTGCTGGTCAAGGAGAGGATAGCGACGCAGAGGGGAGTCACACCGCACGAGTTACGTGCGGCAGTTTAAGGATGGCAGGTGGAGCGCAACCGGCGCAATGACATTATCTACTTACGTTCTACTTGATAACTCGGCCTGATTCCTCACTGTCTGCATCGGACACACGCCGTAATCGGAAGACATAATGCTTAGATCGAGTATCTCGCCTAAGCGCGAGAGAGAGGAAGTTCTTATTTCTGATTGAACATGTGATATGTTTATCTTACGAGTGTTCTTTGTCAATTTTAACTTGCGCGAATTCTTGAAATTTACATGAATCAGTTATTCGAGATAGATATATTTTGATTTTACAAAATCTTCGCGCGATACACGCGCGTGTTTTATGGAATTATTTGGAACTGAAGAGTCGAAGATACATTTTCTTGCGGAGATACGTCGCGAAGTTACACCGCACCATTACACCGACACGAGCAAGGAAGAAACACACAGAACGAAAGGGCCGTAAAGCGAGACGCGCGGCTTCTCGCGTTTAAAGGATGGTGTGTTTAAAATACGCGTGTGTTTCGATGAGGTGCGGGGATCGACGGCTGCAACGCGTTCGAATCGCGTCGACTTTGCTGAATGTGCGGTGGCGTTTCGATTAATAGTTATTGGTTTCGTTGCCGGTTGCGGCCGCTTCGGTTTCCTTTTCTCTTCTCCTCGCCCGTGACGGAGTGGCAACCGCGCATCGGCAGCTCCCAATAATATTAATCGCCTCTGAAATCGCGCCGCGAAACGTTCCGGTCAAGCGAAGGTGCGAGCATCCACAGTACACGAAGGATACACTTGTATTGGCACGAGAACACCGCACAATTGCGCCTTGTGTGCTCGGATAATCGAGAGTTTCGTAAAAGAGACTTCAAAGAGGTCAAATTTATCGCCGTTGCTCGATCCAACGGAAATAAGTGGCGTGATAAAATCGGTATCTATTGAGGCAGTCTAGAGACAAAACTAATATATCGTCAATTTTGCGGAATTTTGTGGAATTTATGCAGATTCGAGATTAGTCGTGCATTTCTTTGAATGGCATTGCGATTCGTTGTAAATACAGATACATAGGTCGGTTTACACATTTTGTAATTCGGTTAACGCTAGATAACGACACTCTCGTTATCGTAGCGCAGCTATTTTGCGATACAAATTGTATCTGCGTAACGATAGTGTCGTTAGCCAGCGTTAACGAGTTACAGAATAGGCCTACTACTATCGCAAATCGCTATCGACGTGAATATTATTTATCTTGATGACCTGAAAGCGACAGGGCGCGACTTACCGCCGTTCCTCGCGCATCGCCAATGTATTGTCTGGCGTTTATCGCTGGTCGATAACGCGTACGACACGCACCTGCGCCAGCGTCGAATTTTACGTCATCGCGTACCATTCCGAGGTCGCTGGCAACCCCAAGTCGCAATAGAAATTACTCGTAAAGCGCGCGCAACATATACCACACAAGTCAATTTTTATATCACATCAAAAAAATTTCAAGTTGTTTCTTTTAATTAATTTTATTAAGTTTACATTATCGTAATAACGATTATTCGAAAAAGTTTGATTATGAAAGTTTGACAAGACGGGAAAAAAAAATATATATCAAGAGGCACGGTAGTGCCTCGCGCCAAGTTTCACGCGCAACGAAGTTGCGCTCGAACTG